AAGACTAAGGTGCACCTGACCCAAGGCATGGTGTTTTCAGTCGCCTCATGTGCATGCCAAAGCTGGGCCATGAATAAGGAAGACAAAAGAATTGATGCCTTTGAATTATGGTGTTGACAAAGAATATTGAATGTATCATGGACTGCCAGAAGAATGAACAAATCTGTCTCAGAAGAAGTACAGCTAGAATGCTCCTTAGAAGCAGGGATGGTGAGACTTCATCTCATGTATTTTGGACATGTTATCAGGAGGGTCCAGTCCCTGGAGAAGGACATCATGCTTGGTAAAGTAGAGGGTCATCGAAAAAGAGGAAAACCCTCAACAAGATGGATTGACACAGTGGCTGCAACAACAGAATCAAACATAGCAACAATTGTGAGGATGGTGCAGGACTGGGCATTGTTTTATTCTGTTGTACACAGGGTCACTATGAGTTGAAGCCAACTCGAAGGTACCTAACAACAACAATGAATTTAAACATTGTTTCATTGTGTTTATTTTCTACAGTTGCCTTTTATTTATAATGCATATCAGGTTTTCAATTTACAGACATAAAAATTTTTCTTTAAATAAATGTGTTTGAACAAAAAAAGTGAATTGATTTGAATAAAAATATTGAGCAAATAATAACAAAGGTAGTACACACAGATCATTAAAAGAACATAACACAAACGGCCAAGGCTTGAGAAATTTAACCCTTCCAAGAACTCGTAGAGCAAGCAAATAATATTCCAATTTTAGGGATAAGGAATTGGCTTACAGAGTGGTTCCATAGTTTGGCCTAAGACACACAGCAGAGCTATGGACACGGAGCTCAGGTCTGACGCTCAGGTCAGAGCATCTTATGGCAGGAGGTGAGAAATGAGGCTGTCAGTTAATTAAGCGCTTCCAGTGGTAAGGATCCAAGACTCAGACAACCTCAAGACGGGAGTTCATTGCGGACATAAGGGAAACAGGAATCCCCACCTAATGGTCACCAGCCCCCTTGGCAGCAGGAGTGTTTGTGTCAGCGCCCCGCCCCGGGGTCCTGTAGTAAAGTGACTCAGCCCCACTCCAGCTTTGCCCCGGGTACCTTCCCTCACCTGTGCTTGCTAGCAGGGCCAGCCTCCCTCCCTGTGTTCAAATGTCTGAGACTGAGAGACAATCTGATTGGCCAGCTCAGGCACGGTCTTCTTGATTGGATAGAGCTTCTATGTCAAGTGCCTTCATAGGCTGCTGGTCAGCCTATGGATGGGCTTGCCCGTCAGGGGCCCAATCAGCTGCGAGCAGAGTCTACAGTGCAAGCGCCGAGCTTTGGGGGCACTGAGGTGGGTGAGACCCATTTCTTGCCGTCTTTGCTCACAGTCTAGAAGGACGTTTCTGGCAGGCATCAAGGTGTGATTAGTGCCCCAGGCAGAAGGGAGAGGAGTGGAAGGGAGTGGGGAGCGCAGAGAAGGAATGGGCCATTTGTGTGGAGATAACTCTGAAGTGAGGGGACAAATCCCTGGTGCTGGCATGGGCATGCTGGAACCTAGTGGGCACGGGACTCTGCCTCTCCAAGTCTTGACCTCAGAAGGTTCAAGGTGCCAGTAGGGGCCCTTGCAAGGTGGGTGGTGCCCCCTGCATAAAGGCAAACAGGGCACAGGGAACCCAGGCAAGATGGTGCCATACAATTCACTAATTCATCAAGGTATACGATCAATCAGCCAGATGTCATACTGTGCTGGCTTGCGTGTTGCTATGGTACTGAAAGCTGTGCTACCAGTATTTCAAATACCAGCAGGGTCACCCATGGTGAGCAGGTCTCAGCGGAGCCTCCAGACTAGGACAGACTAGGAAGAAAGGCCTGGTGATCTACAGAAAAATCAGCCAATGAAGACTCTATGGATCATATCAGAATATTGTCTGATATAGTGCTGGACCTCATCAGAAAAGACCAGCAGCTAGAGAAGGGCATCACGTTTGGTAAAGTGGAGGGCCAGAGAAAACCGGGGAAACCCTCAACGAGATGGATTGATGCAATAGCCAAAGTAATGGGTCCAAACATACCAACAATCATGAAGATGGTACAAGACTGGGTAATGTTTCATTCTGTTGTACGTGGGTTCACCACGAGTTGGAGCTGACTTGACGGCAACTAGCAGCAACAACAGCATACAATCTGGTGCTCGGCACTGTGTCCGGTGCAGTAAAGAGATGATGAAGCCCTTCCCTCACGGAGCTGCCAGTCTGGAGGCCAGGTGTGCAGCTCCTGGGCTGCAGAGGAGCCTCCTCTGGGGAAGTGGGGAGACCCAGAGCATCAGAACACAGCACTGGTGAGGGGAGGGGGAAGCTATTTCTGCTGCTTGTGCAGCTCGGGCCCCCCAGGGAATTCTTCCCAGCAGTAGCCCTCATGAGTCTGGAAGCCATCATAGGCAGGTCCAGCTAGTGTCCACTTTGTTGGAAGATTTGGGTTCATACTTGGGCCACAGCATTGAGGGTATAGTAGCCAAGTGTTCCCACCACCCATCTGTCAATTTGTCATACTGTGGTGGCTTGGATGTTGCAGTGATGCTGGAAGCTATGCCACCAATATTTCAAATACCAGCAGGATCACCCATGGTAGGCTGGTTTCAGTGGAGACAGACTAGGAAGAAAAGTCTGGTGATCTACTTCTGAAACCAGAAGACAGACTAGGAAGAAAGGTCTGGTGATCTACTTTTGAAAATTAGGCAAAGAAAACCCTGTGGGTCACAACAGAATATGGTCTGATAGAGAGCTGGAAGATGAGCCCCCTAGGTTGGAAGGCACTCAAATGATCATGAAGATGGCGCAGGACCAGGCAACATTTTGTTCTGTTATATATAAGATCACCGTGAGTCAGAGATGACTAATGGCAAGTAACAACAATGACAGCCAAGTGTTCAGAGGTCACAAGAGATCTCAAGGGAGAAATGACAGGGCCGCTTTGTCCCTTTGCCCTGTGGCCCTGAGAGCTTCTCCTTCTGGGGCTGAACCTAGAAGCTTTGGCACATTACGAAGGCAGTATTTTCCTCCAGGAGAAGCAGACTGACCCTTGGGATAAGGAATGTTTGTCACCTGGATGAGGGAGGAGAGGGTACTCCAGGAACAGGGAACAGTCTGCAAAGATGTGGGGGGACGAGGGAGTTACAAGTGGTTCATCCAGTAGGACCCTTGTGAGGTTCCAGAAGGAAATATCCCAGTATGACGTGGACAGGCATGCAGGCTGAGGAGTGTGGATCTAATGCTGAGGGCAATGGGGAGCTATGCTGGGTGTTAGGGGAGGAGCATGGCATTATTTGTGATTTGAACAGAGTGCCCTGGCTGCCCTGTGGAGGGTGGGTGTGAGGGGGCAAGACTGGGGCAGGCAGCCAGTGAGGCCAGTGGTGACCCTTGGAGAGCCATGAGGACTGAGGTCAGCAAGCCACTACAGGGCTAGAGAGAAGGGGTGCTTCAGAGGCAAAACCCACAGAACTCCATGACTGATGAGGAGATGGAGGGTCAAAGGAGACCCCCTTCCCAGTTGCTGGCTTGGGGATGGGACCAGAGAGCAGCAGTTGAGGTTTGGAAGAGAACACAGTGTGTGGGTTTGGGCGGAGGTCGTCTGGCGCCTCCCCCCGTTGGCCGTCTGTCTATGCTGAGTAAGCTGGGTCCTGAGCCTGGAGCTCTTGGAGGGACAGGTAGGCATCAGTGTTCAAGGCTAGGCGGGAGGCGAGGGCCCTGACCTGACCCTGCCCAGGAAGGGTGGCCCAGGGGGATCCGGCCCCATCCCCAGAGCGGGGGACAGGGGCTTCCTCTCCAGCTTCTCCCGGCGCCAGCTCCAGGAGTGACTGGTCAGCCACTAGGCTGGGGGCTCTTGGGGCAGGAGGCACCAGGGGTCTGGGGTCTGAGTCTCCAGAAACTTCCCCATGAAGGGAGCGGGGCAGCCTCTCCTCCCTGGCCCCGCTGCCCCGGAGAGCACTGTTTGGGGGACCCGGGCCAGTGAGGAGACTGGGGGAGAAAAGCAGCAGGTCGTCCCCAGGGGGGAAGGTGCAGTAGGCATCGTCCTCCCCTGGCAGTGGTGGTAGGGCTGGCAGGGGAGACCCCGCGGGCGCCCCGGGCCTGCCCTCATCGGACTCCTCAGTGCAGGGGTCATAGGTGAAGTACACCTGGCAGGCCTCAATCTCCAGGGCATCCGGGAGGTGGAAGAAGAAGTAGCCCTGGTTGGTAAAGCAGCTGGTGTGTGAGTGACTGCTGGGTGAGGGTGCAGGCACTTTGTCCTCAGGCCGCAGGAGCAGCTGCATGGCCTTGGCGTCCCTCTCCAGCACTTCCAGCGGGGAGATCTCAGGCGCTGGGCCAACGGGGCTGAAGGAAGACGAGGGGAAGGGCGAGGAGAGCCACTTCTGCCGGGAGAGAGAGGGGTGAGTCGGGTGCTTGCTCCTACACTCCCACCCCCCAGCAGCCTCTCAGCAGCAACTCCTTCTCCTACCCCCTCTGAGAAGTCCTCCCTGATGGGGCTCCCCTCCCTCTTCCCTGTCCCCCATCCTCTTACCCCCCTCCCCACCTCACTGGCCTGGAGAACCCTTTGGACTGTCAGCGCAGGAAGTGTGTCTGATTCACAGCCCCAGCACAGGCCTTCCCAGCTCACAGTAGGTGCTCAGGGAAATGAGTGACTATTTATTGAGGACCTACTGTGAGTTTGGAAGTTCGAATCCACCAGTCGCTCCTTGGAAACCCTATCGGGCAGTTCTACTCTGTCCTATAGGGTTGCTATGTGTCAGAATCAACTCGACAGCAACAGGTTTACTGTGAGTCCCTGGGTGGTGCAGATGGTTAAACGCTCGGCTACTCGCCGGAAGATTGGCGGTTTGAACCCACCCAGAGATGCCTCAGAAGAGAGGCCTGGCAATCTGCTTCCGAAAGGTCACAGCATTGAAAACCTTATGGAGCAGTTCTACTCTGCACACATGGGGGGCACCATGAGTCAGAATCGACTCCACAGCGATTAACACCAACTACAAGCCTGGCGCAGTTCTAGGTGCTGGGGACACAGCAAAGAACAGACTCCTCAGTGTGCGGTGGGACTGGCGTGAGTGTGTCAGTTAACAGAGCAAGGAGGGCTCTGGAGGGCACCTTGTCCAGATCCTCACTTTACAGATGCCCAGAGAGGGACATGCCCTGGCCCTGACCACACAGCAGCCTGCGACAGAGCTGAGACCACAACGTGATCTCCACGCTCCCGCTGCAGGGGAAACTTCAGGAGCTGATGGTCCCCTGTGTTCGACTCTCCTGCCCAGCCTCTGCCTCCCACGCACTGCCTCCACAGAGAGGGGAAAGCACCCGTCGGAACACCTCTCAGTTGCTCAGGAGTCCAGAGAGCCCTGGCCAGGAGTGAGGAGACCCGCGTCCAGCCCCAGCTCTGGTACTTCCTAGCTGCACGACCCTGGGCAGGTCACCGCACCTCTCTGAGCCTCAGTATCCACAACAGTTAGCCAACCCTTTCCTGACTTCCTCCCTGTTATCTGCCAGCCAGTGAGGAGACATCAAGTGAGAAAATGGAAACACTTGACACAGGGTCAGATGCAAGTGGCACCGCAGAGGAGTTGGGGGACAGTAGACCCTTCAGAGTTCTGGGGAGGGGGTCTTCTGATGAGTGAGTGAGAATTCCAACAGTCCTTCGTCTTGGGAGCCCTCATTAGCTGTACTGTGGCCCCCTGAGCACAGGGACCAGGCCTGGTGGGGTCACCTTGCACCCCAGTGCCCCACGCAAGGCCTAAAGGCCCAGGTAGCACGTTTCCAATGAATTCATGGACCAGCAGAGAGATGCCCTGGTTCTGCCTCCCGAGGCTGAGTTCCTGAGGCTGAGCCACTGTTACACACACACGCATCCACACACATGCACGCACACACACGCACATATGCGTGCACACATGCACACACACACACGTGTAGACATGCATGTGCACACGTGTAGACACGTGCACACGTGCACACACACCACTCAATAACACCCTCCAGCCTCAGCTCTTTAAATAACCTCCAGAAACCAGGATTTGTGTTACAAGAAGAAGGGCCGAAAGAGAGACAGGAAAGGCAAACTGGGGGGGGGCAGAAAAGGGGTAAAAGGCTAGGAGGAGAAGGGTATGCGAAGTGAGGTTCACAATACCAGCAGAGGCAGCGGAGGGCAGGGTGAGGCAGCAACGCTGAGCATGGTGGCCAGGAGGGGAGAGGTTAGGTCTGTGGGCAGCGCTGTGATCTGGGCTGTCAGGGCCTGGGCCTCCACCCATGCTGCCCTGCAGCAGGTGGTGGAAGGGGGGAGAGGGAGCAAGGAGAAACTCATCTCACTTTGCTCACACTTGCACACTCACACGCACTCCTAGAGCCCATGGACAGAGCAGCAGGCCTTGCGGCTTTGGAGCAGGGTCCTGGGGTAGAGAGGAAGAGAAGTAGGCCTCTCACCCAACCACATTGTGCATCCCCAGGGCCTCCTCAGGATACCCCCTTGTGCAGAAATGACCTCATAGGAAGAGGGAGTGATTTGCAGCTCTCAAGAAGAAGCCCCCACCCCAGAATGTCCCGGGCCCATAGAATCAGGACTTCAAGCTGGAAGAGGCCCTGGGCTGTATCCAGTTCCGCTCCAACCAATTCAATGTAGGAATCCCTTCTGCAATGTTTTTGACACCTGGTCAGCCAAGGCTTGCTTGAATACCTCTGTTGATGGGGCACTCACTACCTCCAGGGCTGAGAGAGGGATTTTAAGGAGACATGTTCTCCTACATCAAGGGTACTTGCTGAGGGTTATCCAAAGAATTGCAGAAGGGGCCCTGGTCAGCTCTGACTGGAGAGCTCCAAAGCTAGCTCACGACAGGGCTGGTCCAGGGTAGTTTTCCTGCCCCTCACTGCTCCTTCTGACCACCCTCCGGCCCGCTTCACCCCCACCATATCTAGGTGGGTGGTAGAAGCAATCCACCACATCCCCTTCCCGACTGAAGCTTCCTGCCTGGATCTGGTGTGTACTGGGGGAGGGGAGACGGCTGAACTTTAAATGGAGTTTAAATGTGGGGTGACTACTATACAGGTCTGCACGTTTAAAATGAGCCTGTGCTCTGTGATTAAGGGTGACGAGAGGCCCTGTTAGTATCTGTGACCAGTTAGGGAGCCACTCGGGGTTTTTGGCAGGGGCAGGGGAAACACTAAGCCCACCAAGTGGGTCTGCACAGGCAGAGGGGTGGCGAGAACTTGGACCCAGCGAGTCCTGCTTAGTCAGCAAACTGGGGACATACTAGCTAGGGTCCCTTGAGCACTTAAGCTGTGTACCAGGCAAGGTTCTCAAGGAAATACACACATCGACACTGTTTTTCTGCCCATTTTGCAAGTAGGAAAACTGAGGCACAGAGAGTTTCTGTAACTTGCTCAAGGTCACACGGCCAGGGAGTGGGAAAGCCGGGATTAGAACCCATGCAGTTGGCGCAGCTGGGAGTTGCCAGGCAGCCTGAGAGCACTGAAGCCATATCTGGAGGAAGGGGCCCGTGCCCACCCAGGACACTGGTCTCTGCTGCTTTTCATCTTCTCCCACAGAGTGCAAAGCTGCTACTCCTGCATGGCCTCCCACCCCACTCTCTCCACTGCCCGTCCTCTGACCACCTGAGTCAGCTGTCCTCCCCTCTGGATGCCTACCTGGAAGTCTCCTCCGTGCTCTGTGCTCAGCTGGGAAAAGAACTCCGAGGGGTCTGGGATGTGGCACTTCAGAACCTTCTTCAACCTGAACGGGGGGAGGGAGGGAAGGAAGATGAGTGAGAAGGCAGAGGGGCCGCAGTGACCTGCCATTCGCCCCACATTCATTCATTTATTTAGCAATATTGATTGAGTGCCCACTATGGCCAGGTACTGTGCTGGGTGCTGGGGACCCAAGGATGACTGAGACAGAAGGTGGGTGCTTGTAAAGAGCTGACATTCCAATGGGGAGACAGACATGGGACAAATGGGCAACATGATCATTCCTTCCATAGAGACAAAGAGCCAGGTGGTATGCAACAGAAGGATGGCAGAGGGTCAGGGGGACCACATGGTCAGGGAAGTCAGGGACTGGATGGCTGGTCAGAGAGTGAGTCAGGAGGAGAGAAGTCGGAGAGAGGCCAGATCGTGGGCCTGCTAGGCAGGGCTAACAAGGATGGTGGTTCAGGTCGTGCACTGCCCAATGGCATCGGGCTCCAGGGTGGTGAGTTGGGGCTGAATTCCAGCCCATGCTCTGCTTGCCTAGCTGAGCGCCCTGGCACCCATATGCATCTGCCTGGAGGAAGGGGCACCATTTTCTGATTTGCACAAAGGTTCTAAATGGCTGGTGGCGACCCTAAAGTTTGGTGTGTATTCTGAGTGCAGTGGGCACCTCCTGAAGAGTGTTGAACAGGTGCACAACAGGGCCAGGCTGTGGTTTGGAGAAGAGATTGAGATGACAAGGGTGGCAATGGGGAGACCAGGGAGGAGGCTGCTGCAGTTGCCTAGGCGGGAGAATCACATGACCTTGTCTGGGAACAAGGACCTTCAGCAGGGAGACTGTGTCCCCTAAATGCCTGCCAAGTGTGGAGCTGAGAGTGGGAGGGCAGAGAGGAATGCCTGTCCTCTTGGGATGGAAGGAGGACCGGGGGTCCTGAGTAGTGCTGGGACGGGGGGCAGGAGGGGTGAGCTTGCACCCCAACTTCACCACTAACTGGCTGTGTGACCTTGGGCAGGGCAGCTGACTTCTCTGGTCCCCGTCCAGGCAAGAGTCAAAAGGGAATGGTAGCCCCTGACTTGCTGCCTTCACAGTACTGAGATGATGCAGGTGGCGCACTTGCAAACTGTAAAGTGCTGTGTCTCCTCTTGGGAAGAGCAGGACCATTATCAGAGAGCAGTGTCCCTTGGGTAAAAGCATCACCTAGCCCTTGAAGTCAAGGACTGCCTGGGGTGAGAGGGGACACACACACACGCACACATGCACACACACACACATGCATGAGCACACACATACATACACACATATGCATGCATGTATGCAAGTGCTTCTCAGAGAGGAAGTTGTCAAGAGCAGGGGCTCTAGAGCCAGAAAGCCTGGGTTCAAACCCAACCCAGCTCCATCACTTATTACCTGTGTGACCTTGGGCAAGTTACTTAACCTCTCTGTGCCCCTTCAGCTGGAAAATGGGAATACTGGACCAAAAGTACTAATAAGGTTGTTGGAAAGTTTAAGCGGGACCACGTATTTAAAGCACTCAGAACAGTGCTCAGTCCGGCTATAATAAGACCAGCTGTTCTTTGTGCATCACACTCCTGTTTAAACCCTCCTGGGGCTGCCTAGACTATAGTCCAAATCCTCGCACGCCTGCCAGTCCCCACAGAGTCTGGCTGCTGCCCACGTATCCAGGCTTGAAGTCAGCCCTGTCCCTGCCCCGTTTTGATCTCCAGCCGCACCGGCTTCCCTGCACTCTTAGTTCCTAGAACGCTGCTCATTCCTTCCCACCCTGGGCCTTTGCACACACAGTTCCCTCTTCCTGGGTGCTCTCCCTGTCCCCTTGCCTCCACCTGGTTTGCTCCTACGCCCCCTTGAGATTTCAATGGAAAAGAAACATCACTTCCCTGGGGAAGTCTCTCCTGTCCGCCTCCCATCCTAACCACGGTGCGCCTGCTACCATCCTTGCCCATCCTAACCACAGTGTGTCCTTGTATACATGTGTGATTCATAAAGATCTGTTTCCCCCAGCGGACAGTGAGCTCCACGAGGATGGGACTACAGGCAGATGGCTGGCCAGTGTGGTGCCAGCACCTCTCGCTGCCCCTAGCTCTGAGCTGGTCTCAGCAAATACCGGGATGAAGAGTGAATGAGTGCCCAGACCTAGATAGACCCACGGGGATCCCCCCCGTACACACAGATAGGCAGCAGCCATGTGTTGTACACACATGAATGCACACACATACATGCACAGTCAAGTCTTGAGGAGGGTGCTCTGGGCAGGGCTCCCCATGAGGCTTCTCCTCCCCACTACCCTGGGGGGACCATCTTTGGGGGACACAGGAAAAGGCCAGGTGGAGAGGACCCTCAGGCAGGCAGAGGGAGCACGCCTGTCAGAGCAGGGAGCTCAGCACTGTGTGTGTGTGTGTGTGTGTGTGTGTGTGTGTGTGCATGCACATGCAGGCATAGCTGTGCATTGGGCAGGAGTGTGAAGGACAGAGAGGGGGCCTCTCTTACCATGGCCCAATGTACCGGCAGTTGGCCCGCAAGTAGACTAAGATGCTGAAGGCAAAGGCGCCGCTGAGGCCCACGAACATGTGGCCCAACCAAGAAAAGGACGGAGTCTTCCCGGGGGCTGCCAGGGGTGGGAGGAGAGGGAGTTAGAGAAGTGACCCCACTCACCTCGATCCCATCGCTCCCCCCACATCCCTCCCACCTCCAACCTGGTACCACACCCCATGAGTCAGTTACCAGGCCCTGCAGGTATGCCCATGCCGGGCTTCACCCCCTCGTGCCCCAGCTCGCTCCCCACCCCTCCTGCCCACCAGTACCTGCAGGCTTTGTCCTAAAGGCCAGGGGTTGGCTCCAGGGGCTCCAGGTCATGTTGCTGCCTTTACAGGCCCTGGCCCTCACCTGAAACTCGTAAGCGGTGTCTGGCACCAGTGACTCCAGGTAAATCCATTGCTGGTTCTGCTTGAGGCTCAGCAGGGAGACCTCCTGGGGCAGAGACAGAAGTGTCGGAGCAGTGGCCTCCCCACCACCCGCCCCACCTCCCGTGGCAGGGCTGGGAGACTGAACAAAGCAGACCCTCCATTCTGCCCACCTTCCCATCCCACTGAAAGGCTGCCTGACAACTCAGTTATTGGAATGAAAAACCCCGGAGTCACCCTGAACCCCTCCCTCCCACTCATCCCCCATATCCAAAGCCACAAGCCAATCAGCTCTTTCTGCCTCCGGACCGATTCTGGACCCTTCTATCCTCTGTCCCACTCTCCCCGCTCCTCCCAGATCCAAGCCTCTGCTGCCTCCACCAGCCTGTAGCGGGTCTCCCTGCTTCCACCCACACGCCACAACCAGAAAAAGGGATTGTTTTAGAAAGTGTGCATCACCTCATGTCCCCCAAACCTCCCATGCCTTTCTATCATGCTTGCACCCAAACCCAGATTCCTCCTCCTGGCCTCCCACCCTTATCTCTGGAATCATTCTATTTGCTTCTTCCTGTTCTCCAACACACAAGCATCATCCTGCCTCTGCAGAAAACCCTGCCCAGGTCTCTGCAGGGTCAGCTCCATCTTGACCTCAGAGCCCTTACAGGGTCATTCGCGTCTAAAGTAGCCTGGCTCAGCCACTCTCAAAGACGTGATCTCATTTCATTTTCTTTATAAACCAGTTGCCCTCGAGTCAACCTTGACGCATGGTCACCCCATGTGTGTCAGAGTAGAACTGTGCTCCATAGGGTTTTCAATGGCTGATTTTTTGGAAGCAGATCACCAGGTCTTTCTTCCAAGGCACTGTTGGCACCACCCAGGAAGTTTTTCTTTATAGTGCTATCAGGATCCCCGATTGTCTTGTTTCTGTGTTGACTGACTGTCTGCCCCCATGCCCCACATGTGTTTCCCCAGGGCAGAAACCACTCTCTCCCTAGCATCCAGCACGTAGTAGGTGCTCTGTAAATATTCATGGGATGAATGAGTGGGTGAGCAAGAGAGTGATCAAATAAAGGAATGAATAAGTGGATGATAAGTGGACCAGGCTGGATTTGAAGGGTGAGAGAGTGGCTTCCCAGGAAGTCTGAACTCTCACAGATGGCCAGTTGCCTGCCTCTTTGCCATGTAAATAAATCTTGCTCCGTGCCAGCCCAGAATCTGCTTCAGCTGGACCCACTGGATCATAGGGGGCATGTGGAGCGAGGGGAGGCAGGGCTGGGCAGCACAGGGTGGACTCTGCCACCTGCCGTCTGCCCAGGGGCTGATACGGCTTTTCCAAATGAAGAATGGATGAAGTGACCAGGACTGGGGCTGGGAGGGGAAGGAGACTCAGGACAGGTGGGACCTGGGCCATGTACTCACCTCCCAGCTGTGGTCCAGGGGCCGTGTTTGGGCCTCGAACTCCAGGTAATTTTCAATGTAGTGGGAGAACTGGGTGAGGGTCCAGGTGACATTGCACCTGTGGGCCTCTACGTGGACAACTCGGAGGGAGTCAGGGGCCATCAGGCGAACTGGAGGCAGGAGAGGACGGAAGAGCAAGCATGGGTGACGCTGGGTCACGACGTTTAGACGACAGAGCCCATACCTGCTCCCACCTCCACATTTGACCTGCTGTTACTTTCCCCAGGGACCCTCACGGCCCACCGCCTCCTTTCCTCCTGGGCTCCACTCAAACATCACCTAGTTGGAGAAGCCGTCTCTGGCCACCCGCCACTCTCCACTCCCCTTACCTCTCTCCTTCCTAAAGCTTGTCACCACCTGACATATTCAATATTTATTCTTGTTGCTTTATTTGTTTTCTGTCTCCCCCCACAAGACTGTGAACTCACTGAGACTAGGGACTTTGTCCTCCGCTGCATCTTGCTGCCCAGAACATTACCCGGCATGTAGTAGGCCCTCAATTCAATAGCTGACTTATTTTAAATTTGATGACTACAAATGACTATAAGATTTTATGATTCTGAAGTCAAATTGATCTAAGTTTCTATGATTCTGAGACTCTGGAGAACCACACAGACAATAATAAGCAAATGTTTATTGAGCACTATGTGCTAAGCGGTTTATGTGTCTTGGCTCTTAGACTTCTCACAACAATGCTGCATGGTAGATAACTCTGATTATCCTCACTTTACAGATGAGGAAACTGAGGCTCAGACGTGTTAAATGATCTGCCCAGGACACACATCCGGCCAAGGCTGGGCTGGGCTTTGAACCCCACAGATATCTCCCCCTCTGCCCTACCCGCTTCTTAGAGATGGTCTCCAAGGTCATCCAAGGTCAGGGGATGGAGTAGGGGGAGCAGTGAGAGGGGAGGCATTTGGGGATGGAGACAAGATAGAGGCACCATGGAGGGGGGCAGGTAGGCACTCAGTCATTCTACAAACCTTCCCAGATCGGGCCTGGTGCTGGGTGCTAGGTATGGAGACACAGAAACCCTGCCCTTGGGGAACTCACAAACCAGTGAAGGAGACAGAGCCATAACCAGGCAGTGATGACCCCGGACATAAACTCCTTGAAAGAGGAGGTGCATAGGGCCAGGGGAGTCTGGGAAGGCCTCCTGGAGGAAGTGACTCTTGACTGAGCTTGAAGGGTGAGTTGGACTTTTCCAGGTGGGAAAAGCCTTCCAGGCAGTAAGACTAGAGTGTGCAAAGGCTCAGAGGCATGGATGGGCATGTTGACTGTGGTGGGGATAAAGGCTGCCAGTGCAAGAGATGAGGCTGGAGAGGGAGGTCAGGGCAGATGCTGAGCGGCCTTGAATGCCAGGATAAGGGGCAGGAATTTCTTTCCAGGGCAATGGGCAGTGAGCTGGTCAGATGTGGCTGTGCAAACTGATGGGGAGAGAGACTGGAGCAGGGAGGATCCCAGAGAGGAAGACAGAGAAGGAGGGTCCACCCCACCAGCCCCATGCTGGGGTCCTCACTCACGGTTCTCAAAGGGCTTGAATTCCTGCGTTTTCACCATCCTCCGCCTCTTGCCTTCGAGGCACGTCACACTTATGTTGATGACATCAGCTGCTGTCAGTTTCTGAGACTGCAAGGGAATGAGGGCAAAGCTGTGGCTGCCAGCAGCAGGAGAGGGTGTGCCATGGACAGGGAAGGCCACGGGGGATGAGGACAAAGGGAGGATGGGAAGGGAGGTCAAGAGCTGCAGCAAAGATGGAGCCCTCCACTCGCCCCACCATCTAATGCAGGGGGCAACAGACTTTTTCTGTAAAGGCCCAGATAGTAAATACTTTCGGCTTTGCAGGCCTTATGGTCTCTGTCACAGCTATTCAACTCTGCCCTTGTAGTTTGAAAACAGCCATGACTATATGTGAGTGAATGATCGTGGCTGTGTTCTGATAAAACTTTATTTACAGAAACAACCAGAGGGTCATACTTTGCTGTCCCCTGATCTAAAGTGAAGTGAGCTGTCTTGGTAGATAGCGAGGTGCACATCACAAGAGGTATGTAAGAAGAGTAGGCCCCCAAGAAGATGCAGGTGTAGAACTGTATGTGTTTAATAGCTTCAAGTATGAAAGCCTCCCTTTCCCATCCCTCCTCATCCCATACACTGCCTTTTCTGGAAAAAAATGGCCACATATTAAGTGTCTCCTGTGGGCACATACTGCTCAGGTACCTTAGCCATTATGTCACTTGATTCTCACAGCTATCCATCCCTGTACTGCAGGTGAGAAACCTGAGGATTGGTTGGTTAAGAGACTTGCCTAAGGTCATACAGCTGGTCAGCAGGGGAGCCCAGATTCAAACCCAGGCCTGCTGCATCCCACAGCCCCACAGAGTGGCTGACCAGGGCTCTGAGGGAGCCAACAGCAGCACTGTGGCCCTGGAGGAGGAGAGCTGCGGGGCCCTGGAGGATGAGAGCCACAGGGCCCTGGAGGATGAGACCCGCGGGACCCTGGAGGATGAGAGCTGCGGGGCTCTAGAGGCAGTTTGAGGTCTAGGACTCTGGCTGCCGTTCCCCTGACCTGCCAGAAGGCCCCTCTGTGAGCAAACCTTGAACCTGATCATCAGGGTTCCTGGAGCTGGTCAGCCAGGAAACCATTCCTTTCCATCCCAAGGGCCCTCCCAAGCCTTACAGCTGCCACGGGGGCCAGGTTGTCCCAGACAATAATAGTATTATCATCATAATTGTTGTTATTGTAAACACATTGCTAATGATACATTTCATGGAGCACTTACTTTGTGCTAGGCACTCTTCTAAGCATGTTACATATGTGATCTCATTTAATTCTCTCAACAATCCCATCCTACTCCTGAGGAAACAGAGGCACAGAGAGGTTTAGTAACTTGCCTAAGGTCACACAGCTGGGAAGTGGAGGAGACAGGATTTGAAGCCAGGCCACCTGCAGAGCTCACAGGGACTGTATAGCAATCTGGTTCCAGAGGCTGTGCTTTTATCAGCTACACTATGTGGCCCCATCTGCACATTCTCCTGCCCCTTGGGAATCCGTACAACCATTGACCGTTGGAAAAATGTGGTGTGAATGTCCTCAGGGCCTGCTGCTGCCAAGGAGGGTTTGATGTTCAATAATATGATTCACACCCATGTGGACACGGCTAAATGCCCTGCAAGAGGCATGGACTGACGGTCCAGCAGACCTGAGTGCAAATCCCAGTGTTGACGCTGCCTGGATGTGTGACTCTAGGCAGAGATGACTCGTCTCTGAATCTCAGTTTCCTCACTGGTAAAAGGGGGCTAGTGTTGGGCCCATCACTGAGCTGTTAGCACTGATAGATGATAGCTTACTCTGTTCTAGGAGTCCTTCTAAGTGTTTTGACCTCAGAACAACCCTGCAAGACAGGTGTCATTATTATCCCCATTTTACAGATAGGGAAACTGGGGCATGGAAATTCCCAACGTCACCCAGCTAGTGTGTGGTGGGACCAGCACATGAACCCAGACCACTTGGCTCCAGAATCCCCCACTCTTAACCCCACACGACCCTGCGTCTGCCGAGAGCGCAGGAAGAGCCAAGTGTGGTTGTTATTATGGGGTGTTCTCCCCACTGGATAAAGAACCCAGAGACATTGTGGGGCCAAAAGGCATGGGAGAGACAGTGGGTGTGCGGCAGGATGGCAGGCCTCAGCACCCAGCATGCCTCGCCCTCGGACCAGGCTGAGCTCTGGACTCTGGGTGCTGCCCTCCGGCCTTCTGCCTCCTCCTCCACCCCAGGCAGGAATCTGCACAGCCCCTGGGCATTGGGCTTGCTAGGCCCAGCTCCTCCCTGGCCTCCAGCCCTCACTGAGATCTCAGCTGAGCTAGAGGACACCCCCTCTCCACCCATGCCCACCCTCTCCCTCAGCCTCTCTCTCTGCACAGCTACTCACATTTGGAGCTCCAAGGATCAAGTTACAGGCCCAGGACTGCCGCATCGTGGGGAGGAGCTCGCAGGTTTTGCTCCATTGCCTGTCAAGGCCAAACGACCTCCTTAGAAGGGAAGGAGACCACCATAGGGCCAGCCCAAGGGCTCCCTTCTCAGATCTCCCAGCTCTTTAGAGCTGTGGCGGCAGCTGCCAGGTCCCCCATGCAGCAAGGTTGATTTGGACACGGGCTCTGTGCCAGCCTGGTGAGGGGTGCCAGTTCCCCCACCCACCCCATGATACACCCACCCCATGATACTACACCCCGTCCCAGCCTGACCCTGTAGCTGCTCCCCACCCAGCAGCCAGAGTGATTTTCTAGAAATACAACAGGTTCAAGACACATGCCCCTCCCCATGCAAATCCCCCTAAAGTCTTCCCTTGGGGCTGAGGGTGAAGACCCATCCTTAATTTGGCCTTTGGGGCCACGTGGAATCACTATCCACCCAGGAGCCAGGGTAGAGATCAAAGTCACCTTTGCCTCCTCCTTCTCCCCCGCTCTGCACCGCCATCCAGTTAGTCCCCAAACCCATGGAGCTCACCTCTGCTTCAGGGATTTTCCCTTCTCCTATCTGAATCGCTGGATCCCAGCGGCCCGTCCACCGATTCCCTCCCAGGCTTCTATCCCCACAGCCGCCCTAGAGGTCTCTCAAAATCCCAGATTACTCAAAAAGCTTGGGGGTCCCCCTTTCTTCCCCAATAGCCTCTATAGTTGAGTCCAGCTTGGCATAGCAGGCTTGTGGCCCAGCGTCCCCAAACCACTTTGTTTGTCCAGCCAATCGCCACGCACCACCACTGCAGCCTGGCCCCTACCTTCCTCCCCCATCCCCTCCAGGTTCGATGGGTCTAATATCTGACTCCCGTGTTCTCTTAAATGATGCCTGGTTCTAGGCCTGGTTCCAAACTTTTGTGATGCTAAGAGTCTGTGGGTCCTATTACTCCAAGATTCTGAAAGTGCTGACTTCTTGGAGTCAGATAGTAGGTTTCCAAGAATCTAAACCTTAGGGATGAGAAGACTGCATGCTGCTAAGGTCCTACAGGAGCCCTGATAGCGCAGTGGTTAAGCATTGGGCTGTTAACCAAAAGGCTGGCAGTTTGCATCCATCAGCCGGTCCCTGGAAACCCTATGGGGCAGTTCTAGTCTGTCCTGTAGGGTCACTATGAGTCGGAATTAACTCGATGGCCAAGCCCGCACTCACCGCTTATCTGGTTGGGCGTGAACTTGGCAGGCTGTGGCCTGCAGAGTCCCATCCTGGCTCCAGACGCAGGAGATGTTGGCCCTCGAGTTGTAGAAGCACGTGAGTGTGGAAGCGTCTGCTGGGCAAGACGAGCATGAGTGGCTGCAGGGAGCCCCTAGCCCTCAGGGCTCCCCCACCACCCCTGCTCGTGCCAACCAGATGTGGAGGGAGGCAACCCTGGTGGACAGAGAAGGGACTACAGACCCATTTCAGAGAGGAGAAAACTGAGCCCCAGAGCCTCCAAGTCCCATAGGCAGGGCAGAAGGAGAAACCAGTGTCTTCCTGCATTTTGCAGACACACGTGAGTGCAGCACAGGGCAGGACAAGTGGCCCAGCGTTGAGACGGATGCCTGATCTCTGGTCCCCATGGCACCTGCCATCCCAGGGTCCCTGCCTCCTGCCCCTGCTTCTGGATCTGCTGCCAAGAAGCAGGGGACTTGGGAGGGGCTCCAGAAAGGCCTGGGTCTCCTCCCCTGGGGTAGACATGGCTGTTGGGATGCCAGGATCCTCACCAGTCACCACTGTGGACAGCTGAGGGATGGCCAGGGGGAGGAGGAAGACGAGGAGGCGCAGACTCCAGGGCACAGGAAGAGCTGCCATCACATCCACCGGGTGGAGCTGGGGAAGGGGGCCCTGGAGGGAGGAGAGGGGAGAGAGCACCAGTGAACACCCTCCGTGGTTGTCCTCCCTGCCAAGGGGGGCAGGCTGGCCCTCCCCTCCCGGGGTGCCCCGATCTGCTTCCCACCACAGGGCCTTTGCACCTGCCAGTCCCTCTGCCCCGCACAGGCACAAGGCTCACTCCCTCCCTTCTTAATTCAAGTTTCTGCTCAAATGTTACCTCCTCAGAGAGGGCTTTCCTGACCAGAATGTGTAAAAAAGCCCGTTGCCATTGAGTGGATTCCGATTCATAGTGAACCAATAGGACAGAGTAGAACAGCCCCGTAGAGTTTCCAAGGCTGTAATCTTTACAGAAGCAGACTGCTACAACTTCCTCCTGCTGAAAGGCTGGTGAGTTTGACTGGACGAAAAAGCACCCTTTATTACTCACTTTATTTTTTATCATGCATTATTTTTCATCACAGCATTTAACTGATTAATTTCTTTATTTTCCTCTCTATCTCTCTAAGGAGCCCTGGTGGTACAGTGGTTAAGTGCTCAGCGGCTGACTGAAAGGTCAGCAGGTCAAACCCACCAGCTGCTCTGCAAGAGAAAGATGGGGTAGTCTGCTTCCATAAGGATCACAGCCTTGGAAATACTACGGGGCCGTTCTACCCTGTCCTATGGTGTCGCCATGAGTCAGAATCAATGGCAATGGGTATGGCTATCTCTCTATCTCCTACTCTCTATCTCCCACCTCCCGCATACACACACAGTCACATGAGCTTGACGAAAGCAAGGGTTTTTGTCTGTTTTGTTCATTCCTAGGACCCCAGTGCCTAGAACAACCTGGCACGTGGTGGGCCCTCAACAAGGAACATTTTTGAGTGGTAAATGAATGACGCTAAATCCAGCCAACCAGAAAGGGCATCTGGAGGTTTGGGCAGTCCCCTAGGCCATCTTCCTGCTCCACTCATCATCCTTGGAGGGAGTTGAAGATGGCGAGAGGTGAGGCATGAGCTGAGAGAAGCCTGCAATGCAGACAGGAGAGCTGGCTTCAAACAGCCCAAGCACTCTCTCAGGGACAGAGTTTAAACCTGCTCTGCATGGCTCTGGGAACAGGAGAGGCATTTTCTGAAAGACAAATCTCTGTCTTTTTTGAAAATCCAATGGCCATGAAGGAAAGGGAGGTGTCTGCTCCTGGAGGGTTAACGGAAGCAGCGAGAGAGACCTTCAGACTCATGTCTGAGTCAGCCCCGCACCCCTCCAGGACAGACCCCAGATGAGGGGGGTGGGGTGGGTGGGAGAAGGCAGATCTGGCCTATTTTTCTCGCTGAGAAGGGACCGCGCTGTGCCAGATGATGGCCAGGGCACCTGGGTCCCATTCCCAGCTCAGGGACCTTGATGGAGTCGTTCGACCTGGCTCTCCTCCCTGCCAAGAGTCAAGCTGCCCACTGAGATGCAGCTTCAGGCGTCTCGAAGGTCACACCTTTTTCACAGATGGAATGTTTGCGACGTGGTTCTCAAATGTCAGCGTTGTTTAGGGGAGCTGACATACATCAGGCCGATACAGCAGCAGGCCATACGATCGTTTCATGACAATAATAAGACCTAACCCTTGCCGGGAGTCCCTGGGTGGTGCAAACATTAAGCGTGTGGCTGCCAACCAAAAGACTGGCAGTTCAAATCTACCCAGAGGCACTTCGGAAGAAAGTCTTGTCAATCTACTTCCAAAAAAGCAGCCACTGAAAGTTCCATGGATCTGGAAGACATTATACTGAGTGAATTTAGTCAGTTGCAAAAGGACAAATATTGTACAAGACCACTATTATAAGAACTCAAGAAAAGGTTTAAACACAGAAGAAAGCATTCTTTGATGGTTACGAAGGTGGGGAGGGAGGGAGCAGGGTATTAACTAACTAGATAGTAGACATTTATCTTATGTGAAGGGAAGGACAACACACACTACAGGGGAAGTCAGCACAATGGGACTAAACCAAAAGCTAAGAAGTTTCCTGAATACAACCAAACACTTCGAGGGACAGAGTAGCAGGGGCAGGGATCTGGGGATCATGTTTCCAGGGGACATCTAGGTCAATTGGCATAACAAAATTTATTAAGAAAATGTTCTGCATCCTACTTTGGTGAGTGATGTCTGGGGTCTTAAAAGCTACCGAGCAGCCATCTAAGATGCATCAGTTGGTCCCAACCTCCTGGAGTAATGGAGAATGAAGAACACCAAAGACACAACGAAAGTATTAGCCCAAGAGACAGAAAGGGCCACATAAACCAGAGACTTCATCAGCCTGAGACCAGAAGAACTGGATGGTGCCTGGCCACCACCAGTCACCATCCTGACAGGGAACACAACAGAGAGTTCCTGATGGAGCAAGAGAAAAGTGGGGTACAGAACTCAAATTCTAGTAAAAAAAAAAAAAAAAAACGGACATAATGGTTTGACGGAGACTGGAGGGATCCCAGAAGACATGGCCCCCGGACTCTCTGTTAGGCCAAAAGTAAAACCACTCCCGAGGACAACTCTTCAGACAAAGATTCGACTGGACTATGGGACATAAAATGCTACTTGTAAAGAGTGTGCTTCTTAGCTCAAGCAGATACATGAGACTAAGTGGGCAGCTCCTGTCCAGAGGCGAGATGAGAAGGCAGAGAGGGTCAGGAGCTGGTTGAATGGACATGGGAAATCAGGGGTGGAGAGGAGGAATGCGCTGTCACAGTACAGGGGGAGCAACTAGGGTCACATAACAATGTACGTATAGATTTTTATATGAGAAACTAACTTGAATTGCAAACTTTCACTTAAAGCACAATAAAATTTAAAAAAAGAAAGAAAATCTCATGGAGCACAGTTCTACTCCGACACACATGGGGTCTCTATGAGTCAGAGTCAACTCAATGACAGCTGACAACAACAACAAATATTACGGAAGTAGATCGCCAGACCTTTCTTCTGAGACACCCCAGGGTGGATTTGAACCACCAATCTTTCTGTTGGCACCTGTGCCCTTTAACCATTTTTGTACCACTCAGGGACTCCCAGGGTTGCCTAAAGTACATATTCAATGGCATGTCCAGGCCGCTGTTTTTGTAGGCATTAGCCCAACTATTTGTCCCTGTCTTACAAGATTTGAACCAAAAGTGTCTGCCGCCAAAGCCCCTGTGTGTTCCTCTGCCACACAAGCCACCTTCCACTTGAGCCACAGCACTATTCTCCCCCCAGGAGGCTTCAGATAAGGTCCCTCCCAGAGGCGCTTGAACTGGCGAGAGTGTCACCAATGGTGGCATTTGGGGCACAGTGACTAACGGTGTGTTTGTCAAAGAGTGTTCTCAGGGACCTCTGGCCACACGGTGGAAACTCCCACGTACTCAGCGCAGGGGTAAGTCCTCAGCCATGACCCGCTGTAGTGGAAACTTTGTGCAGGGAAACATGGCTGCCACCGTCCCCTGCAGGGCCAGAAAGGGGAGGGAAATGAGAAAAGTGAGCTAATGGCCATTTCCAGAAGATGACTGGATGGCTGGGAAGAGAGGCAAAGGGGGAGGCAGGAGGGGAGCTGGGGGCTACGACGAACTTCTGGGGGGAGGGAATGGTGGCCTGAGCAGAGAGGTGGAGGCAGAGGGGAGAGGCTGCAGGTCTGAGTGGCACTGAGAAGGTGGGGAGTCCTTCAAACCCTCGGACTCTTTGACATCAGGACCAGCCAAGACTGGGCATCAGGCTTTGTGTCCCTTGCTGCCTTCTCCCATCTCCTCCTTCCTCTAAGTCCTTCTTTCCCTTCTTCCTCTTGAGCATCCCACTGGCTCCAGTCCACACCTCCCCCTGGCCTTTCTCCAGCTTGGCGCCTCCCCTGATGGGTGACCTCCCTCCCAATGGCCTCAATCCCCCAGACGGGATCCCCCAGGCCCAGAGAAACCTTTGCTCACCCCGTATCTCTCCCAGCTGACTTTGAGGTTTGGAACATTTGCACCCTCCTCGTCCCAGTCTCGTGCAGTCCTTGACCGTCATCTTTGCCCCCACACCAGCCAGCCAGGAAGCCCACAGACAGGACAGCCCCAAAGACACCAAGCCCATCTTTTCTTCTTCCTTGACCCAGTGCCACTGTCCCAGGCCAGCCCAGTGTCACTCAAGCCCAGACAGTGACAATGGCCTCACCTGCAGCAGCTGCACCTCGAGGGCTCAGATTCCTTTCTCAGAGGCCAGCTCCAACCACCAGTTCCCTGCCCAGAAGCTTTCAGTGGCTCCCACTTCAACCCAAAAGCCTAAATCCCCAGCTATCTAGGCTTCTCTGTGATTGGGATCCCTTCGCTCTCACAGCAATAGGTACATACACACACACACACCACATGTCGACCTGTCTATATAAGCCGTCTCCTCCCGGCAGCTAGGAAACTGTGATTTGTTTCCCAAATGGCCTTCCTGAGCCTGTCTTGCCCCTGCCGCCACCTACAGAATCCTGCTGTTCTTGGAGGACCATCTCAAATGCCTCCTTCTCCTTCCATGAAGCCCTCTCTGATTCCCCCAACGAAGGGAGAGGGATCCCTCCTCTGAGCCTCTTGTCCCTTCCTTTAGGATGACAGCAGCAGGGAACTGGCCAGGCAGTGTGTTCCCTCCACAGACTGCTGAGCACAGGGCCTGGCACACAGTAGCACTTGACAACTACAGTGGAATGAGTGAATGAATGAATGTGTTCAGAGGCCTCCAGTATGGCAAAGAAAGCAGGCTATTTGGGACCCAGTGTCCTGGCCCAGATAGCCCTTGGCTCCATCTCCCAAGGTGGATGTCCCAGGAGCGAGATTCGGGGACCCCCACATTGTCAGAGACGAGGGAGCTCTCTGAGCAAGCCCAGCCCCTTGGGGAAATCGAGGCCCAGAAATGGGGAAGGCTTATCTATGATCACACAGGGAGTCAGCGGAGAGCTAAGACCAGACACTACCTCCGCTCTACCCTGCTCTACCTTAGCCGCACCAGAAGCTTCCTGTTGAGGTTGCCATATAGCCAGGCTCTGGTTGAGACTCTTGTAATGCATCAACTCCTTTACTGAGGATGCTCTTCTTACCTCTGTTTTCAGATGGGGAAACTGAGGCACAGAGAGGGTAAGCAAATTGCCCACAGCCACACAGCTGTTAAGAGGCAGAATGTA